CCCTAGCAGCTTCTCTCCTTGTTCTCCTGTTCTTTCTTCCTTCTCCCAGATTTCTCCCATTTATTCTCTCTGCCTGCCAGCCCCATGTATCCTTGCTCCTGTCCCACTATTGGTCATTCAGCTCTTTATTAGACCGCCAGGTGTTTTAGACAGGCAAAGAATCACAGCCTCGGAGAGTTAAACAAATGCACCATCATCAAAAGCAATGCATTTTTACAGCATTAAAACAAATGTTCCACAGCATAGACAAAAATAATGCTGCTTAAAATTATATTCTACAAGAAGTACTATTCCATGTTGCCCTGCGTAATGGTCCATTTTGAATGTTTTCCTTTTCAATTTATTGTGCTGTGTCTGTCTTCTGAGTGGACCAGACTGATAGATATAAAACATGCGTGCTACAGTCCTCGGTGTTCAGAATATGGATTGTGATTGCTTATATTAACCCAAACTTTCATTGTCAAGCTGTGCTGATTTTTAAGCTGATTACTTCATTTTGGGCATGGGAATAATGCTAATTCTTTGTTCCGTTTCATTGTCCCTCTGCATGTCAGCCTTTAAGGAGAAGGTGCGGGTGCAGCCATGCAAGAGAGCCATTGTTTTTAATGAAGCTTTCACTGTTGTGAGGGAGAGAAAGGAAGGAAAATGCATTGAACGATGACTGGGGATCAGTTCTAGGGTTAAAGAAAATAGGGGATATACACTTTTGCAGAGAGAGGGTTGAAATAAAATACCCAGAAAGACCTCTATGGGACTTGTGATGGAAAGCGAGTGGAGATTGAAGTAATCTGGGGACTGGTCATTTCAAGAGAATTGCAGCAGAACCAGTGAGTGACGAGCACACCCTTTGGGAGCCTTTTCCGCTCAATTGGATCCTGTTACTTAGGATCATGGAAGTAGTCATGATTCATGGTCTGTCTCTTCCACCCTCTCCCGACTTGTTTTACTTGTTTTGTAGGCTTTTGATTAACTTTGCTTTCTCAGCCCCGTGCTACATAACTAGTTTATAATCTATGACTTTCTTGTTAATTATTCTCCCCCATACCCCTTCTCCTACCTTGTCCTCCCTTCCCCACTGCATTTTTTTTTTTTGTTTTTTTGAGACAGGGTTTCTCTGTGGCTTTGGAGCCTGTCCTGGAACTAGCTCTGTAGACCAGGCTGGTCTCGAACTCACAGAGATCCGCCTGCCTCTGCCTCTCGAGTGCTGGGATTAAAGGCGTGCACCACCAGCGCCCGGCTTTCCCCACTGTATTTAACCCTCCCAGTGCCATTTTTCTTTCCCCTTTGATACCAGTGTCATTCCATACCCCTTTAGAGTACCAACATTCCATACCCCTTCCCTTGAAGACTCCCTACCGCTGCCCATTGGCCTTTTCTAGTGTCCTGCCTCCTGTGGGTATTTCAATTTAAATACCCATACCCAGAGAAGAAAGCTAATATCCACATGTAAGAGAGAACTTGTGGAATCTGTCTTTCTGGGTTTGGGTTACTTCACTTACGGTGATTGTGTCTGACGCCATACATTTACTAGTGAATTTAATAATTTTATTTTTCTCCCCCCCCCAAGTTGTTACTCTTAAAGACTTATTTTTTTTAAATTACTTTTTTTTTAATATTTATTTATTATGTATACAATATTCTGTCTGTATGCCTGAAGGCCAGAAGAGGGCGCCAGATCTCTTTACAGATGGTTGTGAGCCACCATGTGGTTGCTGGGAATTGAACTCAGGACCTTTGGAAGAGCAGGCAATGCTCTTAACCACTGAGCCATCTCTCCAGCCCTTAAAGACTTATTTTTGACTAGAGTTAGACATAGAAATAAAAGCTCTCATGAGGACAACCTACGTGTCTTGACAATCTGTTCCTGGTGTTTTTCTTTGGCTCCCTTCATTTCCTCGGCCACAAGTTTAGCAAATTCTGCAGCCACGTCCTAACTTTTCTTGGTTCATTGTTTCTCCAGAGCAACACATGGGCATTTGTATGGCAGGATACGTTGAGTAAAAAGATACTGAATCGTTGTGGGTTTGGTCCTGAGCGTCTACCTTCTTTGTTTAAGGAGACTTCTAACTTCATCTTTACACAATCAGTTGCCTAGGAGGTATCACAAGAAGAGCTTTTCCTTGCAGCTAAATCTAATCTCCTCTCTGTTTCTGTCCCCACCCCTTCTCTGGGACAGGATCTCACTATGTAGTCCTAGATGTCCTAGACCAGGCTAACCTCACAGCCGCAGAGACCCCTTGCCTCTCTGCCCATAGGGTGCTTGGATTAAAGGAATACACAGCCACATCCAGCTTTAAAACTTTATAGGTTTTATTTAGTTTATTTTGTGTGTATGTGTGTTGCTCACATGTATATTTATGTATCATGTATATCTTGGACTGGACTGATGGCCACTTATGAAACACCATCTGGGTGTTGGGAATCGAACCTGGGACCTCTTAACCACTGAGCAATTCTCCACAGCCCTCTTTAAACTTTTTTTTTTTTTTTTAATTTGGGCCTGGAGATAGTTCAGTGGTTAAGAGCCCAGAGGACCTGGGCTCAATTCCCAGCACCCACACGACAGCTCACAACTGTTTGGAGCTCCAGTTCCAGGGAATCTAACAGTCTTACATCTTTTCAGGCAAAATACCAATGCACATAAAATAAAAACAAATAAATTATTGAAAAAAATTTGTTTTTAATTTATTTTTAGTGTATGAGAGTTTTGCTCCCATGTTTGCCTGTATATCATGTGCAACCTGCAGCTTTTTTCTTTTTGTTTTATTGAGACATGGTTTCTATGTGTATCTCTGGCTGTCCTGGAACTAGCTCTGTAGACCAGACTGGCCTCGAACTCACATAGACCTGCCTGCCTCTACCTGTCAGGTGTTGGGATCAAAGGTGTGCCCACCACTGCCTGGCTGCAGCCAGTGTTCTTAACCATTGAACCTTATTTCCAGCTCCTAATCACTTTTTAAAATATTTATTATTAGCCGGGCACGCCTTTAATCCCAGCACTCGAGAGACAGAGACAGGCAGATCTCTGTGAGTTCGTGGCCAGCATGGCCTACAAGATCTAGTTCCAAGACAGGCTCCAAAGTTGCAGAGAAATCTGGTCTTGAAAGCAAAAACAAACAAAAATTAATTAATTAATTATTGTTGGGCCTGGAGAGTTGGTTTAGCTGTTAAGAGTCTGGATAGCCTAGAACCGGAGTTACAGTGTGGTTATGAGGCATCTGACATAGATGCTAGGAACAACTCATCTCTTAAGGGCATGCTCATCGTGTCAATGAAATTCACAGGAAGATGCTGCTTGGCTTGAGCTCCAGCACTAGGCCTGACAGAACAGCCCAATGAGTCACCCAGGCTGAAGGTGTTGTTTGTCTGACCCTGCAAGGAATCCCGAGAGAGAGCTAAAAGCCAAATAAGCAGCCAGACTACTCTGTTGTGTCTCTTTTCTTTTGCTTTCAAAAGCGAGGGCTGGAGAGATGGCTCAGAGGGTAAGAGCATTGCCTGCTCTTCCAAAGGTCCTGAGTTCAATTCCCAGCCACCATATGGTGGCTCACAGTAATGAGGTCTGGTGCCCTCTTCTGGCCGGCATGCGTATATGGAAGGAATGCTGTATACATAATAAATAAATATTTAAAAAAAAAAGCGAAAAGTTCTAGAACTAGAGATATGGCTCAGTGGTTAACAACACTTGTTTTCAGAGGTCCTGTGTTCCCGTCCCAGAACCCACATGGCAGCTCACAATTGTTTGTAAAGGGATCTGATATCTCTTGGATCTTCTGACTTTCACAGGCTCCTGCATATTCATAGTGTGTGCGAGTACACACACACACACACACACACACACACACAACTCAACAAATAAACTTTTAAAAAATATTCCATTTTAATTAGCTTCTGTTTCATATTTCTTTTTTTAAAAAGCTTTATTTTATTATTTTGTATACTGTGTTCTGCCTGCATGTATGAACGTATGCCAGAAGAGGGCGCCAGATCTCATTATAGAGGGATCTGAGCCACCATGTGGTTGCTGGGAGTTGAACTCAGGACCTCTGCAAGAGCAGCCAGTGCTCTTCACCTCTGAACCATGTCTCCAGCCCTGTTTCGTATTTCTTTTTTTTACTTCTTTTGAGGCAGCCCCAGAGTTGAGGGGAGCCTGGGGCTGACACATTAGCTGGCGAAGATCTTTTTTATTTATTTATTTATTTATTTATTTATTTATTTATTTATTTATTATGTATACAATATTCTGTGTGTATGCCTGAAGGCCAGAAGAGGGCGCTAGACCTCTTTACTGGTGGTTGTGAGCCACCATGTGGTTGCTGGGAATTGAACTCAGGACCTTTGGAAGAGCAGGCAATGCTCTTAACCACTGAGCCATCTCTCCAGCCCCTGTTTCGTATTTCTTTATCTAGGCCCATGTTCCCATAAAATTAAAGACCTGCAAGATATTTATCTCCAAGGGTATTTATTAGAGCAATATTTATGAAAACAACCTAAAATCCAAATATAGATTTGACTTAAATAAAGCAAGAAATAATCATACCAAGGGATATTTACAGCTACTCAAAGTCCCATTTTATAGAAAACGCAGCGATCTTGGGAATTGCTCAAGCTATAAATGTTAACGTTAAAAATACCTGGTTTTAAAACAATACATAATGCAGAAAGCCAAAATTTAAAAAAAATACATATAGTTACATATATACATATACTACAAGTAGAAAAACAAATGAATGATAATTACTGAAAAATCTTAACACTAGTTACTTCTATGTAGTAGAATTATGAGATTTTTTTTGTTTACTCATTTGAAGTTTTCTGTGTTTTTTTCCATTTTTCCCACAGTTACACATTGCTTTCACATTTGGAAAAGTAATAAATACATGTTAACAATAAAAACAATACAAAAGTGAGAACAAAGGAAGTCAAAGACCGCAAACATAAATACTGTATGTTTTGAATATCTTTTTTTTTTTTTTTTTTTTTTTTTTTTGGTTTTTCGAGACAGGGTTTCTCTGTGGCTTTGGAGCCTGTCCTGGAACTAGCTCTTGTAGACCAGTCTCGAACTCACAGAGATCCGCCTGCCTCTGCTTGAATATCTTTTTTAAAAAATTTATAGATGGCTAAATCGTCCAGCTAAGAATTTTTTATTCCCAGTAGTACTTGTGTTTTTGGCTTGGCTGGATTTGGAGGCAGGATCCACTGCGACGTAGTTAATCTGGAAACCTCCAGCTGTGACTGAGGCATCACTCAGAAACTTCAAGGTCATGACGTTGCCTGGGGGGGAGAGCACACGTTAGAACAAAAAGACGACTCCAGTTTGTTTTGTCTGACAGTTCAATGACATATCTCACAGAAGAATACATAAGATGGGAATAAGACAGAGTCCAGAAGTACAGTCTCAAGTTTTATAGTCCGTCTTTGTCTCTCCCAGTAGAGTCAGTGAGGGTTTCTCTGTGTAGCCCTGGCTATCTTGAAACTGGCTCTATAGACCGCACTGGCCTCAAAACCCAGAGATCTGCCTCCCTCTGCCTCCTGAATGCTAGGATCAAAGGCCTAGACACCAATGCCTGGTGAGGGACCTTTATATTTAACTCTGAGCCTCTAATCTCACGTGGGAAATGTCTTTTCTATTTCAGAAGATTCTCCAGGGCTCAGTGCTCCTGAACTATTCCACCCCTGAAATAAAATAAATGAAATAAAATAAATAAAATTTTAAAGTAGGGTGCTTGCCTAGCACATTGGGGTTCTACATATGATCCCTAGCACCACAAGGGGAAAAAATCTCCACAGAATTATTAGAACATAACAGTAGTTCAAGCTCATGAGGTGTGGATGGGCTGTTTACTAACAAACTGATGGGGAGCAATCAGCCTTGCATTATCAAGAAGCAAACTTAGGGCCAAGTGTGGTGGCACATGCTTCTACCAGACGGAAGTCTGTGAGTTCAAGGCTTAGCCTTGTCTATATAGTGATTTCCAGGCCAGATAGGTCTACATGGTGAGAAATAGTCTGTCTCAAAAAGTAAAATCAATCAATCAACTTATTAATAGAAAACAAAAAAAACGAAGAAAAGCAAACCAAGAAATAAACCTAGATGTCTGCTTCTCAGAGTGAACTCAAAATTTACTTTAACATGTGGACCCGAAAATGCCCAAATACCATATAGGAATATTTCAAGGGAAAAGATTTAATAAAACATTTATTACTATTATCATTACATATATGAATGTGTTATTGATGCTTATATGTGTGAGAGCTTGCCATGGGGTGCATGTGAAATCAGAGGACAACTTTGTGGAGGTTTCTTTCCTCCCACTTTTACCTGCTGAGCCATCTTTAAAAATTTTTATTTTAGCCGGGCAGTGGTGGCACACGCCTTTAGTCCCAGCACTTGGGAGGCAGAGGCAGGCGGATCTCTGTGAGTTCGAGGCCAGCCTGGTCTACAAGAGCTAGTTCCAGGACAGGCTCCAAAACCACAGAGAAACCCTGTCTCGAAAAAGAAAAAAAAAATTTATTTTATTTTTGTAATTCCTTGTGTTGTTTTATATGCATGCGTGTTTGTCTGCGTGTATGTATGTGTGTGCACTACACGAACGCCTGGTACACTCCAAGGAAGAGTCAGAAGAGGGCATCAGAGCCTCTGGAATTGGAGTTACAGATGTTTGTAAGTCACCAAGTGAGTGCTGGGATCTGAACCTGGGACCGCTGCAAGAACAAATGCTCTTAACCTTTGAGCCATCTTGGTAGCCCAGGAAGCCTTTCCTAACTTCAATTCTCAATCCATCTTCCAATTAAAGTCTAGGGGACTGGAGAGATGACTCAGTGGTTAAGAGCACCGACTGCTCTTCCAGAGAACCAGGGTTCAATTCCCAGCATCCACACAGCAGCTCACAACTATCTGTCACTCCAGTTCCAGGGGACCTGACACCCTCACACAGGCACATGCGCACACCTACAAAACAAGTCTATATCACATGTCCTTACAGACATGACCCTGAGTCAGAGAGACCGTGTGACCTTTGCCAAAGTCACAGAGCAAATGTCATATAGCCGAGGCTAGCTCAAGCCCAAGCAGCTTGGCTTCCGAGTTCATTTTCCAGTTGTCATGCTGTATTTTTCTGACACTGGAAGATTTATCTGAAGATGCATATTTTGGCACTGTAGAAGAAGCCCTGGTTAGCTGGGTCTGGCTTGAACTGTGTGGACGGAGACAGGAGGGTCAGGATTTTGGCTTGAGACTAGTTTCAGCTGGAATTCAAGGTCAATCTGCCTTGGAACCCTATCTCAAAATTACTAGGTGACAGAGGAAGTGAAAGAGGAAGTAAAAACAAGAGAAAATAGTACCTCTAATATACAAAGAATAATCATGTAACCAAAGTACAAATGATTTAATAAAGGACTGCTAGACATAGTGTTCTAAAAACAGGCTGCTTTGCTTGTCCTCCATGTAAGCTACCTCTTTGGGGCTAAGCAAGGAATTAGTCAGATTTCAGACCCTTCCCACTAATGTTTTTTGTTCTTTCTGAGACAGAATCTCACTAGCTCTGAGACTCTTTATGTAGCCCAGGTTAGCCTCAAATTCCTGGGTGATCCTCCCGCTTCTGCTTCCACACCCAGCTCTGCGGGTGGTTTTTTATTTATTTTTTTATTTTTTATTTTTTATTTTTTTGGTTTTTCGAGACAGGGTTTCTCTGTGGTTTTGGAGCCTGTCCTGGAACTAGCTCTTGTAGACCAGGCTGGTCTCGAACTCACAGAGATCCGCCTGCCTCTGCCTCCCGAGTGCTGGGATTAAAGGCGTGCGCCACCACCGCCCGGCTCTGGTGGTTTTTTTAAAGGAGAATTTTTATGCCCCAACTCCCTTGTAAAGCTCTAAAGCTTTACATTTTTCTGTTAACATAAACCATGTCCTTGAGATAAGAGAAGTAAGAGGTTTATAGTGGGTTTCCCTTCTCGGGAAGATCGTAGCAATGACAAATTAATAAGGTTTAAACAGTAATCATCCAAGGATAGAGCAGAGAGCTTCACAGCTTGTAAAAACGACACCCCAGAACCCAGAGTGCTGCAAGGCAGGGCGTGGGAGGCAGTTAAAAAGGACTTAGTTGGCCTGCCTGTCTCTGGAGCAACTCTGCTCTTAGGTGCGAAGAGTTGTGATAATTTTACGGCTTGGCGAGAAAACAGAACCTATCCGAATGCCAAGTCCTGGCGCTGGAAAGAGAAAGAAAACAGGGACTTCCGAGAAAACAAAGGTTTTAGCTAAAAATAAAAGTTGCTAAAAGCAGTTTAGGTTAACTTAAAGAGTAGTACGGCCTATTGTGATTTATGTTACTACGAGGGCATTTTGAAAGGGCATTACTTCTTAGAACTTAACCATATGAAATAACTCGGGGGAGGGTGTGTGTGACTTAGCAAGCGTCGCCTATAATATCTAGCCTTTTGAGATCGACTACATAAATTAGCATACTAAAACTTTCCTGTGGTTGCCAATAAAGAAACTTTTTATCACTGTCTAGCCCAGCACTTCCCTTTTCTTATGCAATGGCTGCTGAAAGTATCACAAGCAACTGGAAGGAATGTCGTACTGAGATGGAAATGTGATACAAACGTTGGGGTCGTTTACTATGATGGGAGCTGTGTTTAACTCCCTGATAGTTCACTTCCATCTTTTCTCAGTGACTATTTCCAGCTATCATTATTATTGTTATCATTATTATTGACGGGGAAATAAAACCTAGGGCGTGGGCAAATTGAGCACTCCTCTGTTGAGCTCAGTGCCAGTCCCCACTCATTCACATCCACTCCAAACCCCTGAGGGTGCTGGCAGCAGTTCGTAGGGACTTGTGGATTAAGGCTGATGCCTGCCCATGAGAGCTGTCCATCCACACACCATTTTGATCACAGACTTGAGCAAAGCCGGAAGAATAATAAGTGACATTGTCACAGGCTAACGAACTGCCTCTAGTCTTAGTTCTCTCCGGTTTAAAGGGTGAATGATAATGACTTTGAGGGCATTATGAAAAGGCAAAATAACGTTTTGCTGCAATTTGGGTCTTACCTGTGCTGATGATGTCTCCTGGAAGTTCATCGCCACAGTATCTGAAAGAGAATTTTTAGGAAAGAGACGTCACACACAAAAGAAGCACACAACCATTGATGTGGCTCTTATTTATGATAAAATACTCCTATGCAGATAAGGCAGGGCTGGCCTAGAACTCACAGAGGATATGTATAATTGAAATAAATAATAACCCTTATAAAAAACCTGCAAATAGGACTTTCTCATTTTATTTAGGTCTGTAGTTGATTTTAGAATTAAGACATCTTCTAGTTCCGGGCTCAGGGGATGCTTTATGTGTGTCTGTGTGTATGTGCTCATCTTCACGCTGGGGTACCAAGGATCAAATTCAGGGCTTCATGAATACTAGGAATACTTAAGAAAAGCAAACTTGGTTGCATTTCCTAGTCCCCAAAGTTCCCATCTCTCAGTCTCCTGTGTTGTTTGTCATAAGTCCTTTCAGTCAAAAATCTCCACAGTTTATGCAAGAAATCCCCAATTTTTAATTGTTTTTGTTTGTTTGTTTGTTTTCAAGACAGGGTTTCTCTGTAGCTTTGGAGCCTGTCCTGGAACTAGCTCTTGGAGACCAGGCTGGCCTCGAACTCACAGAGATCCACCTGCCTCTGCCTCCCAAGTGCTGTTTTTAAGTTGCAAATTTCAACATAAAATAAAAACCGATTTTGCCCAAGCTGAGTGTGTCGGTGCACATCTGCAACCCCAATCGACAGGAGGACTGAGGGTTTGGGGTGGCCTGGACTTAACACAGTCAACTCCTGGTCAGACCCCACCTTAGACAAAGGGAAACACTGAACCTACCATTTTCTTTTTTTTTTTTTTTTTTTTTTTTTTTTTGGTTTTTCGAGACAGGGTTTCTCTGTGGCTTTGGAGCCTGTCCTGGAACTAGCTCTTGTAGACCAGGCTGGTCTCGAACTCACAGAGATCCGCCTGCCTCTGCCTCCCGAGTGCTGGGATTAAAGGCGTGCGCCACCACAGCCCGGCTCTGTATTATAAAACACCTAATTATTTACCTCAGTTTAGAAATGTTTAGTAAGGCACTCAAAATTTAAACTATATGAGTATGTTGGAACATGAGTAAGATCCTAAATTAACCTGTAATCCCATCAGCCAAGAACAAGGTAACTTCCTGGAATGCTGGGAGTTGTAGTTCTTGGAAAATAACAACAAAGCTTCAAGGGGAAGTACGGTGGCCTCTGAGTTTTGCCCATAAGAGCCCCGACAACAGGTGTCTAGAGGCCGCTCAACTGGGGTATTTCCAGGCGTGGTCCTGACCAAAGTACATCTTGGTCAGTATTTAATATTTTAATAAAGCTTGTTTCAAACTTGGCCCAAAATGCTGGAACTGAGTTTTCACCAGCGAATCTCAGGATTAACCCAGAGTTTCTTGGATCACACTCGTAATCCCAACACTCAAGAGTCTGAGGCAGGAAGATTTCCATGAATTCATCTGTTAGACAAGAAATCTGGATCATCTTCTAGGTCAAAATCCCAGACCTGAGTTCAATTCCCAGCAACCACATGGTGGCTCACAGCCATCTATAATGAGATCTGGTGCCCTCTTCTGGCCTGCAAGCATACATGGAAGGAATGTTGAATACATAATAAATAAATAAATAAATAAATAAATAAAATCTTAAAAAAAAGATCCCAGATGAATACACCAACTATACTGAGTCTGCTTACTGTGCCAGTAGCAGATCAACCAGATTATGACCACACCCAGTTGGCCCTGTACAGAGCAAGATCCTTACTTTCCCACCTGCCCAAACTGGGGTGGGAACATGAAAAGACTGGGTCCCAGCATGTTGAAAAATAAAGGAAGATGGCTAGGGATTTATTTCAGTTGGTAGAGTTGTTGTGTTGCGTGTCCAAGGTCCTGGGTTCCACCCCCTGTATCTAATATATCGGGCATGGTGTCACATACTTGTAATCTCAATACTTGGGAAGTGGGGGCAGAAAAACCAGGTTCAAAGTCATTTTTCTTTACATGGTGAATTTGAGGCTGGCTGGGCTGCAGAAAACCCACTCTGTACACAAAACAAGACTGAGAGGGTGAGAGACTGACTTGAACATTTCAACAGTAATTTCATTTCCCATGCCTTTAGTCATGTGAGGTTTTGAATAACTAGACAATGAGGTTTTATAAGTCCACAATCAAAGGCAACTTCTCTCCTTTTGTAATTAGTGTAGGGACTATGAAAAAACCTTTGTTGATAAATTATATAGAAGTTGGCGAGGGTGGGGTGTTGAAGCATGCCTGTCATCCCAGCACTTGGAGGTAGAGGCAGGGGAGCTTAGCAATTCAAGGCCTGTCTGAACTACAGAATGAGATCAAGATCTCCCTTGATAAGAGGCGAAGAAAGTTGGGAAGGAAGAAGAGGAGGAAGAAGAGAGAAAAGAGGAAAAGTGTATTTTCTGCTGGAGACAGTAGAAATACTGAGGTATCAACAATACTCAACAAGAGGAACAGGGGAGGAGAAAACTAAAGAAGCGTCAGACCAACACTGGACATTCCCTGGTGGGGAAGCATGACCCACCTTCCTACCAAGCCATGGACATCATCATAGCTGTCATATATCTCTACATAGTCAGCCAGGCAGCCTGGATCATCCTCAAGGTCGAAGTGCAGAAAGCTCAGGTGAATACGCTGACCGTACTTTAGTCGAATGTGCCAGTAGCAGACCTGGTTGTCGTCATACTCATTTGGGAAGCCTGGAGATTTGAAAATTCGCTTTGGGTCTGTAAAGACACCACCACACTCCTTGGCTGCAATAGGAAAAGAAAGTTCACTTAGACATTATTGATTTTATATTATCCATAGTATATTGTGTATGCTTATAGCTAATAACAATTTCCAAATTTTCTTTAAACTTAAACTTTTTTAGTGTGTGTGTGTGTGTGTGTGTGTCTGCTTCCTTTAGGAGTCAGTCTCCTTCTACCATGAGCCACAGTGACAGTTAAACTCAGGTCATTAGGTTTGGTGACAAGGTCCTTTACCCATGGTGCCATCCTGCATGCCTAGTCCCTAAATTTTCTAAAATTTGAATGGGGATTGTAGGAGGGGGCTGCTTCTTGGTTCCCGGCTGCTTAGCCTGGAAATAATCACACAGAAATCATATTAATTAACTCACTGCTTGGCCCATTAGCTCTAGCTTCTTATTGGCTAACTCTTACCTATTAATTTAACCCATCTCCATTAATATGTGTATTGCTACGTGGCTGTGGCTCACCGGGTAATAAGTTCCCAGCATCTGTCTCTGGCTGTGGCTCCCTGACTTCTATCTGACTTCACCCTTCTTTCTCCCAGCATTCAGTTCAGCCTCCTTGCCCTGCTCTGCCCTGCCTTGCTCTGCTATAGGCTCAAAGCAGTTCTTTAATCATTAACGGTAATCACAGCATACAGAGGGAAATCCCATATCAGTGGACTACTCGTGAATTTTTAAATGTGAAAATAGCAAGAATAGCAACATTTGTGTTTGTGTTTACATTTTTCCGTGAGTGAGAAGGTGTTCAGAGTAAGAAGCCATGAGAAAAGGCAGCTTATATAGGTTTGTGAGTTAAGATGGCATCCTTGTGAGAAGAAAATGGGTCCTGGGAGATCCCTTAACAACTCTTCATTTTGCCTATACGTTGGCTTTGCTGTTTGTTTATGTTTGTTTATTTATTATTTTGAGACAGGGTCTCACTATATAGCTTTGGCTGGCCTGGGATTCGCTATGCAGACCAGGATAGCCTCAAATTCCCAGAGATTGGCCTGCTACTGCCTCCCAACAGCTCCACCATACTTGGCTTTTTTCTAGACTCTGGCAATGATTATTTTTTTTTTTTTTTTGGTTTTTTCGAGACAGGGTTTCTCTGTGGCTTTGGAGCCTGTCCTGGAACTAGCTCTGTAGACCAGGCTGGTCTCGAACTCACAGAGATCCGCCTGCCTCTGCCTCCCGAGTGCTGGGATTAAAGGCGTGCGCCACCATCGCCCGGCTCTCTGGCAATGATTATTAACAGCGACTAAATACACAGTACTACAACACAGGCTGGTACTAATAGCTTAACGTATATACAAATTGATTTGGGCCCAATGTGGAGGAACACACCTTTAATCCCAGCATTCTGTGAGGTTGAGGTCAGCCTGATCTACATAGTGAGTTTCAAGACAGCCAGCGATAAACAATGAGACCCTGTCTACAAAAACAAAGCAATGCAAAACAAACAAACAAAACCCCCAAATAGCAATAGCGGTAACAAAAACAATACCCAAACGAACAAATCAAGGAACCAGAGTGATTTGTTGGTCATTGTCCTATGACAAATGCCTGTACTTGTTTTGAACAAGTGTAGAATCCACCTCCAAGCAAAAAATTTTTCAACTTGGAATCCTTTTCATTTTGAGCTCTTAAGTAGCTCATGGACCATCACTGTTCTCTGATGGTCAGTGCCACTCAGCAGTACTGTGACAGAGCCTAGAATGTTCCTGTCACTCTCCTACTGCGAGATGGGATTCCACGTGAGGTAGACCCAATCAGCACTTCATCACATCAGTGTGTTAGCCGATGCCAGGAACGTAACACACGACACCACACTCTGTGGTGCTGTCTGGGGGAACAGATCTGAAAAGCAGAGACTGCTCTTCTCTCCAGAAGCACGAGGAATGAGGGAACACAATGCCCCGAGCAGCAAGGAAGGGCCTATGAACGGCAGGGATAATTTTAGCATCGGCTCCACCTGTGAGGACCCATAGACACGAGCCCGTTCCACCTTGATGATAGGTCAGAGAGTTTGAACTTATTTTTACTCTTTCAAAGTTGTTGGCAACAGGTGTGGCTACAAACAAGCGATCCTGACCTAGGCTGTGGTTATTGAGCGTTTTTTGAGTAAAGAGGTGAATCGACTCCACCTTGTTAGTCTTGCTCCTTCAGAGGAGATTGGCAGGAGGCTCCAGAGAGTAGCTACCTGCAGGATACTTGGTCTATTCCTTTTTTTTTTTTTAATTTTTTGGTTTTTTGAGACAGGGTTTCTCTGTGGCTTTGGAGCCTGTCCTGGAAGTAGCTCTTGTAGACCAGGCTGGTCTCGAACTCACAGAGATCTGCCTGCCTCTGCCTCCCGAGTGCTGGGATTAAAGGCATGCGCCACCACCGCCCGGCTGGTCTATTCCTTATATCATGTTAATGAAGACTGTTGCCTCCCCCACTTCTACTTTTATAAGCACACGGAAATAAATGTGGGAATTAATTCAGAATTCACTGACCGTCTCTCCTGATGCTGTTCTCTGTTTCTGTCTCTTATTTCTCTCATATCTCTGTTCCTTTTGCTTAATAATTCTTTTTTTTTTTTTTTTTTTTTGGTTTTTTGAGACAGGGTTTCTCTGTGGCTTTGGAGCCTGTCCTGGAACTAGCTCTTGTAGACCAGGCTGGTCTCGAACTCACAGAGATCTGCCTGGCTCTGCCTCCCGAGTGCTGGGATTAAAGGCGTGCGCCACCATCGCCCGGCTTGCTTAATAAATCTAATCTTCACACTCCTACCCTGGAATTTCATTGAGTCTGGTCCCCGACAGATGACAGCCCCACGTGTGGCTTCCGACAACCATATTCCCCCATTTTTAGGAGGAAAAGTTGTTTCAGTAATCTCTCGGTAGGTAACTGCTTTGCTGCTGTTGTTTGTGTAACTGCTTTTGCCAATGCAGAATGATTGTTTTAAAGGAACAAACCATTTGGGTTGTAGCAATAGGCATCCCATCGCTCACTCCTGTTGAGCCGGATTCCATAATCGATAATACCAGTTTTCCCAAATCCGCAGTTGGGCCCGGGCTTCACGATGGGGTACCCGACTCTGCCCTTGGCCATCCATCCGGCCGCACAGACATGAAATCCTGAAAGAGAGAGAAGTGTATAGACTCACCCCCCAAAGAGTCCCTAACCTGGTCGGAGGAGGTAGTCATTTCCTACCATAAGTTCTCAAGTGGCTAAACCTACCTTGTGTAGAATGGGAAAACCCCGATATCTGTAGCACTCTGGAGGCTGATCAGCAGGATTTTCAGATCAAGGCCAGACTAGGTTACAGAGCGAGACCAAGCATGGGGCCTTAGGCTAAGTCCTTAGCGCCGCAGACACAACGCCAGACCAAACTAAAGTTTGAATACAAATAAATTATACCTTTTTTTTCCTCTCATTTTTTTTTCTTTTTGAGACAGGATTTCTCTGTGTAACAGGCCTGGTTGTCCTGGAACTTACTTTGTAAACCAGGCTGGCCTTGAACTCACAGAGATCCATCTGCCTCTGCCTCCTGAATGCTGGGATTAAAGGCATGCATACACCAAATTCTGCTTACCTCCCTTCCTTTCTCTCTCTCTCTCTCCCTCCTTCCCTCCCTTCCTTCCTTTCTTTTTTTAAGACATGATCTCATATAACCCAGGCTGGCTTCAGACTCTCCACTTAGCTAAGGCTGACCTTGAACTCCTAATGCTTCTGCCTTTACCTCTGAAGGGCTACTAGGATTGCAAGCATGCTGCACCACCATCCCTGGCTATGAACGTTGAATTCTGACTTTTACTAGCTAGTGGTCCTATTTGAAAACAAAACCAAATGCAGATAGACTAGGCTTAAGTTCCATGGTGAGTATGAGAACCGTCTGATTTCAGATTGGAAACTGAGTGTGCATTTGAGTGTGGGATCTCCCTTTGTTCCGAGGTCTCTGATGGCCTTTTCCATGGAGATCCCGGTCAGGTCAAGATGTACAGGGTGCCCATTTCACCTGCTCTCCCACGTGAAGCTCTTTCCAGGTCTTTTAAGGGAGGTGCTCTCTCACCCCCCCCCCCCCCCCCAAGCCTCATCTTTCTCTCTGGCAGGATGCTCTATCTCTTTGTTGATCTCTAACTTTTCAAGTCCCAGTTATGTCTCCCTGCAGCCCCTGATGCTGTCTGGAGGCTCTCTCTCCTCACCAGGCTCACTTGGATGGGTAATGTCCTATCTCGGCCATGACATTTATTTTCTTGATTCTCACTGGGTGGTAGGTACCCAACCCCCCCATGGCAGACAGAACGAAGGAATCTCCAGAAAGCAAAGATATCCTCACAATATAGAGAGCAATCCCAAAGGGCTAGAGAGAAAAGTCTTAATAAGGGTTACAGGAGAGGTGGAACCCCCACCCCACCAAGGCATAATAAGAAAAACTGTTATCAAGTTAGTTACCAATTTTTCTGGCTGCTTCCAGCTGCTTGTAGGTGGCGAGGCGGCCGCCTTCAAACTCACACACGGTCTTGGCCTCTGAATAGGTGAGCTTGTATCTGCCAGCCCGACCTTCTCGGTGGTACACGCCCGCAGCTTGTTCTGTGAATTTACAAAACGGCATCAACGCGCCATTAATTACTCATTCTTATCAACACACTATTATTCGTTCTTGTAGAACAAAGGAAATTTTGCCTCAGCAGGAAGATTACATCAGATACATGTTCTTGCCAAAGAAATTTCTAGGTCAGCTGCCATGGTAGTTAGGTTTTTATTGTTAGAAAGCTTTGGGGAGAAAAAGAACGAGGGGGAATCTTAGGGGGAACAGAGAACATATAAAGACTGGCTTTTAGATTGTTTCTGATAACATGAAAGAAAGTTTTTTTTTAAAGTTTTATTGCTAGACTAACCACAAGTGATAAAGTTTTGGTATTCTTTTGGCTTTAAGCCATAAAAGCTTGGAAAGGTGGATGAAGGAAGCAGCTGAAGGAAGCTTAGAAGGCAAAAGAAACCAGGGACAATGACTTCATTGTGGAAGCTCACGAGGAAGCCAGACATGTCCATTTGAGGGAATGATTGAGATGATACAATTGAGAATTTTAAAATAGTAAGCAAATCTGGTGGAACCCCAGCAAGTCTCAAGTTGAGCCCTAAAGAGAAGAGATTTGAACCCCGCAGAGAGGCAACTGGCATATTTCTACTTTTTCTGATTTGTTTGTTCCCATGTTGTCCCCCAACATATTTTAGGCGATGACAAGGCACATACATCCTGTCTTCCAGTAGGTCACCATTTCAATGGATTGTTTGGGGACTGCAGTCATTTCTCCATAGAAACGATATGAAGAGGCTCCCCAGACAATAGTCACAAGTTTATCTCCAATGGTGTTAGTGGTCCCACCCTGTTGTACTGATCTGCCTGCCCAGTCGGCCACTGTGGAGATGCTCCCAGAGGATTCTCGAATGCCTCAGCGCACAGCAAGACACAAATACAGAAACGAGTCCTGATTCACTCATTTTTCTCCTCCCCAAGCTAAAACCGACTCTGCCACAGTTTGATGGGAAATGATGCCGCTTGTGTTTCATGTTTTCTAGACTCCCTGGAGCCCGTCCTCATAAATTACACGGTAAAGGCCCATCACTTAGAGAAGACAACAGTCAATTTGATACTTCTGTTTGTTTGTTTATTTAAATGCAAGTTCTCATGTTGACCTCTAGCTGTGCAGACAAGGAGGATCTTTGAATTCTGATCTTCCTGCCTTTACCTCTTGAGTGCTGGGATCACAGGCATGTAACTCTTGGTTTTATATGGTATCAACGAATCCAAACAGGGTTTTTTGCATGCTAGGCAAACACTCTACCAAGCACGCTTACATCCCACACTTACAAACCAGAAAATGCTTGCAGAATCAGACCTTCACCAGTGAAGATGATTTTCGCTTTGTAAATGACCTGTTCCCAGGTCTTCTTCATGTGCCAAGGCCTCAATACTCTCGTTAATTTCCACTTTTATTCTTTTAAGCTCATAGTGTGGTGAATTTTTCTGGGTGTTGTGGATCAAGCCCTGTCCCCTCAAAAATCTTAAACATGCATGAGTGGGCAACTGAAGTATATTTATGCGTTTTTTAAATTGATTTTTAAATTTATGTGTACTTATCTTTTCTTCCTGCACATATGCCTGTGCACCACATGTGTACTTAGTGTTTGAGGAGTCCAGAAGAGGGAGTTGAATCCCCCGGAATTGGAGTTACAGATGGCTGTGAGCTTCCAGGCGAGTCCTGGGAATCGAATTCTCATCCTCTGGAAGAGCAGCCACTGCTCGTGACCACTGAGCCATCTCTCTAGCCCTGTTCTTTGGTTTGGATTTTGTTTTCACAAAATCCCAGTATGCAAGCTGGGCAGGCTTAGACCTTGTGATTCTCCTGTCTCAGTCATTTAAGTATGAAAATTAAAATACCACCACACAGAACTAAGTATCTTTATCTTAGACACTATGCCTTTTGGTAGAGAAAAAGGATGCATGCTTAATTAAATTATTTATTATAAGTATCGTTGTTGGGGCTGGGGAGATGGCTCAGTGGTTAAGAGCACTGACTGCTTTTCCAGAGGACCTGGGTTCAATTCCCAGTATCCATATGACAGCTCACAACTGTCTGTAACTCCAGTTCCAAAGGGTCTGCCATTGTCACACAGACATACATGCAGGCAAAACATCATTGCATATAAAATAATAAATAAAAAATTATTGTTGAAAATGAAAATCGTACAAATTATTTTAATGGATGCCAGTTTTTCCTCAAGCTTGTTTCCTTAATATTTTACTCCAAACATGAAATATATTTCTGGGGAGAGATGAGCAAAGAGTGTTGGGAAATAATTTCCAATTTTCTTACCAGTAATAAAAAAAAAACTATTGGAATCTGATGTCATATGTGTGGTAATAAAATCATTATAACTAAAATCATTATAACTAAAACAACAAGCTTCACGTGCCTAGTCTTAGTTTGTTAAATATTCCTATTTAATTTGCTTTATGGGCAAACACACTGAGAATTCTTTTTTTTTAAATATTTATTTATTTATTATGTATACAATATTCTGTCTCTGTGTGTATGCCTGAAGGCCAGAAGAGGGCGCCAGACCTCTTTACAGATGGTTGTGAGCCACCATGTGGTTGCTGGGAATTGAACTCAGAACCTTTGGAAGAGCAGGCAATGCTCTTAACCACTGAGCCATCTCTCCAGCCCCGACAATTCTTGATGTACATATTCAACTATCTAACTAAGGAAGTTAGTGAAACAATTTACAACAAGGTCTCACTATGTAGCCTCTGCTTTCCTTGGAATTGCTATTATCCTGCTTCAGCCTCTTGAGTTTTGGTGATTACAGAGCTTCTTTCTCAGGAATAATTCTACATGAAGTTATTTTGGTTTCTTGTTCATTCTTTGAGACAATGTCCTTTTCTAGCTCTGGCTGGCCTGAAACTCACTATGTAGACAGGATTGACCTCTAACTCATTGAGATCTGCCTGCCTCTTGAGGGTTGGAATTAAAAGCATATACCCCTACATGTGATCCTGCCTAGGGATGATTATAAACAAGGTATTTTGTATGTGCATTTGTTTACTTTATTTATTTATTTACTTTTTGAGTCAAATTTTTGTTATGTATCCCAGGCTAGCTCAGAACTCCCACCAAGTCTTCCCACCTCAGTCTCCCAAGTACTGTCAATACAAAAATATGAATACTATTACTTTAAAGTATTATTTGTTATTTAAAATATCTCTGGGTTTAGAATTATAAGCTATTAAGATGAAACTAAGTACAATAAAACTCTAACTTTTAAAAGATGCGTCTGTCTAAAGAAGCAATATTTTATTAATTTTCTCTAGTTTATACCACTTAATTTATAAAACTGAATTTTTTCCCCCTCCTTTTGGCAAAGGAAAACAGTGGACTAAGGCTTTGGTGTCTGCTGGTTCTTCTGGGAGGAAGTAGGTAAGCTTGGAGACATCTCCACTCGAGCCTCAGTTTCCTCGTCTAACAAATGGGAATAACCATAACTATGCACCCTGGCAGGAGCCCACGGCATGCTACTGTCCTGTCTTTGGCAGACTTAGTACGAAGACTGGAAGTAACTGTTCTTTGTGTTTTCAATGTTCAGGATCCATGTTGATCGACTGACATCTCTTGTCCCTCAGCTCCTTTCTTGCTAAGTTGCAGTTAAGAAATTAGAAGTCACCGAGTTCCGATGTCCTGTTCTTCACAGTTGCTACCAGATCCCGCCCTTCAAATCCAACTCTCTTTTCTCCCTAAACAGTTACTAATATTATATCGACTCAACCAACTGTAAACAATTTGTGCTGGGCTGACTGGTCAGTCCTTTGTTCCAGATGGAAGCATTTGACGGGGTCTGAAGCCCCTGAACCACAGTGCGCCCTTAACAAAGGTTTGGCTTGCTTCTCTCCGCTGTTGGGCAGAACCGCTTTTTATTCACGTTTACATTTCTGTAGCGTACACATTCATTGCAAAAACAATGACTTCAAATGACTGTATCCCAGGAGAATTTGGTAGCATTTGTAAACATCCCCATATGTCTTGAATTCTGCCTAGCTGTATGGCGTTTCCCCATTTCTGACAAATGTGTACTTATTTCCTCAGCTGGATTGTGCGTACACATCTACATTAATTTCAGAACCCATCTCGGCCAAACGGTCACACCGCAACTAGTTACTGGCTCAAGCTGGGAAAAGAGGCGGCAGGGCTGTGCCGTTCAAATCCAGCTTCTTAATGAAATCCTCCTGGTTTTAATTACAACCAAAGAGAACCCCACTGAAAGGGAAAAAATAACCGACAACCATGTGTTGCCTCAGAAGCATAAAACCAAGATCTAGGTTAATTTTGCTTTCGCTTTATTTCTTTATTCTGTGCAAGAATAAGATGACCCCCCTACCAAGCAATCAAAAAATTTTTCTCTACTAAATACAATAACGAGCAAAATGCAACACCAACTTGAATCATGAAGAGTCTTAGCATTGTTTTGAGTGCTATAATGGGTTAATATTCATGGTTGGACTAGTATTCATTATTGGCCTATTGTTCATCTGTAGTGCTTAGCCTATGTCATCCCTTACATTTAACAAGACAAAAAGAACTTCCCTCAGTTAACGAAACGTCTAGAAAAGTTCTTACGTGGCAAAAGAACCACAGCCCGATGAAGGCATGAAAGAGGACAAAGCACGCTTATTTTCTTTCCTGTATCACATTCTAGTTTTGTTAAAATAGTTGAAAGATGGTTAGGAAAATTAAGATGGACCCAATAGCTCAGAGAACATGGAGCTCAGAAGTACTGTAGGAGTTCTGCATCTCCTGTCTTACCTGAATTCTTTCTGTGAATGCAGTTGAAATAATAATAATAATTATTAATAATAAACCTGTATTATACTGGTGGTTTAGTTTCATAAAGAAATACTTACCAGTGAGCTACCATGTCTGCTTTGAAAATCTTAAAATATATTTTCACCAGGACACATCTTAACCCGTGTGTTTTTGTTGAACAATACATTGTGTAAAAGGAGAGCCTTAAGTTTTAACAGCAAACTTCCTTTTTCAGTGGCATGCCAGTTCAGCATATCTCTTTTTAAAGATTCTTTTGTGAAAACATCAACTTCAAACATGCTAGAAACTTTTACTCCTTCGATTCAGTCCTCTGTTGAGGTGAAAGCATCGACATTCCCAACAAGAAACTGGTGCGTGAAATTTCTTACCAAGCCATATGGAGTTGTGAAAGATTCCATTCTTGTAGCCCCATCCGTGAACCTCTTCCCACAGCAAGACGCACAGGCAAAGGAGAAGGACCATGTCTCCAGTCGCCGAGCCGTTTACAGTGTCGGGGGCTGCCCACGAGAAATTCTCAGAGTAGCGGCTGGAATGCGGCTGAAACATCTGGTTTCCACATCTTTTAAATAGCCCCTTTCGGCTGTGAGGTCAGCATGTACTCTCCAATGGCTCTTTCCGTTGCAGAGTTACACAATTAGTTCACTGTCTGAAGCAAGCCCTCTGACTCATTTGCATTGGCAACTGGAGCGGAGGGTGCAGGATGAGCATCCACAATTTTAAATGCCCTTTCTCAGAAACATGTCCGTTTATCCTGTCCGTCACCAACACTTTTCTTTTAGGGAGTTTGTGTTATTGGGGGGGGGGGGGGCAGATTCAGAAGACACTAAAGAAAACCAAACTCCGGCAGGAATCCGCAGAGAAAATCCAGAAGGTCCTTGTTTGCGCTGTTAATTTTGGGGTTTGTCTTAACATTAATCTTTAACTTGATTGTGATAGTATCGCATAGTTTTTCCTAAAGGTTGCCAAGAATGCCTGTGTGGAAAGTGGAAAATTTAAAACAAAAGTGTATGTCGTTTGGCAAACCTAGCAAGGAAGAACATTCTCTCTCTCTCTCTCTCTCTCTCTCTCTCTCTCTCTCTCTCTCAGCTTTAAGGAAAAGAGTCCAATTTCAGAGAGTCTTAGGACATTCAGGTCGCCTTGGAATCTCCTACTATAGCAAGGGAGTATTTTAAGTTTATATTAGCAGACTTGGAGGACTTCGGGGATGGACACCCCCACTCCCCCTTATAGTCCACAGCCTGCCAGGCAATGGGCTGCCACGCTGCTGTTACTGGTCAGAAGGATAGAACCTGAGCCATATTTCTGGTCCTGGGAGGAGACCTGGCATCCTGAACTGTCTAGAAAGTCGTTGATGGATGGCTATCTAAGCCTGACTCCAGTATCCTTAAGCCTTGTGAGATTACTATATAGCAAGAAGCTTTCCACTCAGGACCAACGTGGCTGCATTGTAAAGAGTTATAATCTTGGCAGGCTTGAACTACAAAGCTTCTCCTTCCAGAGATGCATATGTACCTGCCCACTCCACAGAGATGTCTGTGCTGTGCACCTACCCACTCAACCTGTTCTCACGCCTGTCACCCTGGCCAGAGAGAGAGAGAGAGAGAGAGAGAGAGAGAGAGAGAGAGAGAGAGAGAGAGAATCCACTGGTACAGTCGTACAGTGCTGGCCTAGCAGCATATAAGATCATAAGATCCTAGGTCCAGTCGGCAGCACCTTACAGACACAAACGAATGCCATTCTCCTTCCTGTCAGAATCAGCACAGACTGGCTTGTCAATCATTTGAGGAGGACAAAGCCTTTCAGAGAAGAAGTTTTGTCTAGAGGTTTTAGAAAGCACTAGGAAGCCCGTAAAACACAAACAACAATGAAACCACTGTAGGCTGGGGGTCGTAGTCCCTCTGGACCCTCTGGCTATAGACTGTTTCTTTTTGTTGTTCATTTTTTTGAGTCAAGGTTTCTTTTTTTTTTCCCCATGATATTTATTGAGCTCTACATTCTTCTCCGCTCCCCTCCCTGCCTCTCCCCTCCCCTCTTCAACCTTTCCCCAAGGTCCCTATGCTCCCAATTTACGTCGGAGATCTTGTCTTTTTATACTTTCTACTTCCCATGTAGATTATATATATGTAAGGAGACAAGGTTTCTAAGTACCCCCAACAGTCCTGGAACTTGCTATGCAGACCAAGTTGGCTGCAAACTCACAGAGATCCGCCTGCCTCTGCCTCCCAAGTGCTGGGATTAAAGGCGTGCGCCACCACCGCCCGGCTCACTCTCCTGAGAGTGTCCTGTGCCCTCTGATGCACGCTGTCTTTTGTCTACACTCTGATGCTTGGCTTGAATTCTTTTGACAGACCTCACAGGGAGCAGCGGAAAGGGAGACCTGACAAAGATTCCGGTATCAAGCCGATGAAAATAAAACTAACAAAAGTATGGCCCAGCTTCCCAGGATCAATCTAACTTGAATGAAAATGACCAAAATAATAGGTGAAGATCTGGGAAAATCACTATGCCTTCCAACTTCTCAAACTCTCCTTCCCCGCAAAAATGCAAGACATTTAGGCAACATGTCTGGTCACAGTCACTGCTGCTGTTGGTTGACAAGGACTCTATGTAGCTGTTGTTTCTCTCTCTTGTTGGTCTTTCTTTGGTACTTACATTTTTCTATTCTTTTTTTAAAATTATTTTTAGATCTTATTTACTTTATTTTTTGGGTATTTTGGGTATTTTTATGGGTAATATTTATGGGTATTTTGCCTCATGTATGCCTGTGCACCATGTACATGCAGTGCCTTGAAAAGCCAGAAGAGAGCATCGCATCCCCTGGGATTTGGATAACAGATAGCTGGAAGCCACCATGTGGGTGCTGGGAATCGAACCTGGGTCCTCTGCAAGAACAATAAGCAGGCTGGCTGGTGATGGCAAACACCTTTAATTCCAACACTCTAGAGGCAGAGGCAGGTGGATCTCTGTGAGTTTGAGATCAGCCTGGTCTACAGAGCAAGTTCCAGGACAGCCAGGGCTACACAGAATAACCTTGTCTCAAAACAAACAAACAAAGAAACAAAACAAAACAAAACAAAAAAAAGGGAGCAGTAAGCAGTCTGTTCCATTTCTCCAATCCCAGCTTCTCTGCTACTCTTGGTGACACCCAATCTGGTTTCCGTTTTGTTTGTTTTGCTTGAGACAGGGTCTCACTATGTAGCTCTGACTGGCCTAGAACTCAGTCATGTAGACCAGGCTGGCTTCAAACTCACAGAAATCTGCTTGCCCCTGCCTCCCAAGTGGTGGGATTAAAGGCGTGCACCACCATGCCCAGCTAATCTTGTCATGCCCATCCGGTTTCATTTGCTGTATCACAGCCATTGTTTCTACCAGACTTTCCTAGCCTCTTCAGTGATTTTTTTTTTTTTTCTGAGGGGAGCAACCTTCTAGACTTGCTTTAGTATGAAGTTAGCTTTACGTTCTGGGAAATTTTTTTTTGTTGGTGTTGTTTTTGTTTTGTTTTTGAGACAGGGTTTTTCTGTGTATTCCTGGATCTCCTGGAACTCCCTCTGTAGACCAGGCTGGCCTCGAACTCACAGAGATCCGTCTGCCTCTGCCTCCATAGTGGCTGGGATTAAAGGTGTGTGCCACCAAGCCCAGCCTGGAGACATCTTTTTAATGGACAGCATATGCTTTATCCTGGTTTCTTTCCTCGAAGGGAGTGTCTATGGGGTAGAGAATTTACTGGACCCTATACCTATAGTTATCATAATTTGAAAATTTAAACTCTGTGCCCCGGCAAATGAGAGACAAAGTCCACTGATTAGTTAGAGTTTAAATTTGGTGCCCATGTGGGAGAGGCTATAAGGAACAAAGATGGTCCATGGGAATTGTGGCTGTCTCTGGAAAGTGAAATTACGTGAATATTTTTAGTTTGTGGTTTAGGAAGCAAGCACAGCCTGACGTCCACCCTGCAGCAGGAATGTCACAGCCTCCCCCTCTGTACTGTCGCTTTGCCCGCTCACGCCGTTTCAACATCTCTCTCAAATACCTCATCTCTCCATTTATCAACTCCCCCCCCCCCCCCCCCCGGGAAAGCATCTGCAAAGATGCTCCAAACACAGCAGGGTATGAGCAGTCAAGTTGTTTTATATGAAAACTCCATGCATTTCTCTGATGGAGCAACTCAATCTGAGACAGAATTTCTTTCCTCCCTCTTTTAACAGGCGGCAGAACATAAAGATTTTCTTACTTCTTAAATACAGTATTTGACGACCTTATTCCTCTTCTGCCATTAAGGAAATAGGAAACACTGACTAAGTCTGGCATTCTGGGAACACACAGAATCCCAGTATTCGGAATCCCGAGTTCAAGGCAAGCACGAGCAATGTAAGCTAGACTCTGCCACAAGCAATGCCTAAGGATGTGGGTTCTGGTTTTGCCTGTGCTCAGTTCCGCTGTGGAAGAAATGATGAATAAGGTTATATATGGAAGAGTAGGTGGATAATTGGGGCTAGGGAGGGAGAGAAAAGGAGTGTTACCAGCGAACTTAATATGGAAACTGCCTAAGAAATGCTCGGCTCCAGGTCATACTACCCAGATCTTCCTTTTGGGGAGCGAAGAGAAGATGCAACAGTAAAATGTACTCTCAGGGCCAGGAGACTTCACCAGTCAAGACCTTTTGTACCTGCCATGGACCGGCGAAACCCAGCAAGGCTACCTTTGTATTAGAAACTGTCTTCTGGTATTTTTTCTAGAAAAGTACACTTACTTATAAGGCAATGGAGTTATTGGATACTTGAAGGCCTAGAGGAGCACTACGCATCTGAATTGGGGAGGTGGCTAGAGCAAGCACTTAAGATTTCCTGAGCTGGTGCCGTGGCCTAACGATGCCATTTGTGTAAAAATCCGAAGGAGAAACTAATAAAATAACAGTAATAATGCTAAGGCAGAATCCAGACAGTCATCAGAAAGTGAGAAGGAGATGTTTTGTCTTCTTTTCCCACATGGTCATTCTCAGCTGGGCAGTGTCTTGAGCTTCTGTACTTCGCTTTCAGGTTAACTTTGACACAGTCCCCCTGTTGTCCAGCTGCATCCCTTGTGTATGAAAACCCCATTGCAGCTGGACAGGTGGTGCTTGCCTGTGGAATAGTTACCTTTCTTACTTCCGAACATGAATTGACAACCTTGGCTCCCTTAGCTTGGGAAGGAGAGACTGGAGTCTCAAGAGCTCAAGTTTATCATTTATTTATTTATTTATTTATTTATTTATTTAGTATACAATATTCTGTCTGCATGTATTCCTGCAGGCCAGAAGAGGGCACCAGACCTTATTACAGATGGTTGTGAGCCACCATGTGGTTGCTGGGAATTGAACTCAGGACCTTTGGAAGAGCAGGCAATGTTCTTAACCACTGAGCCATCTCTCCAGCCCCTCAAGTTTATCTTTGACTTGCAGAAAGTTCGAGACCAGTCTAGGCTACACGAGACCATGCCATAAAAAAGTTAAAAAACAAAGCAACAACAATAGCAACAAAACAAAAGCCG